TTCGAAACTGACCGCCGTAGATTGTTGGAAAAGATAGTTCTTCCGCATGTTCATCCATTAAAATACTGATTGGCCTGTTATATTCACCGTGTGCTATACTCAAAAAATAATCATCATTCCACAAAAGGGTTTGTTGCTGCGCAACTAAATTGTCTTCAATTGGCACGTGTTCACTTATTTCGTCCATATTTAATTGCGAAGTACGTTCATTGCCGGTAAAAAAAGATTCATCAATTTTAATGTCATGATAATTATAAAGAGGCGTAGATACTAAATACAATAACCACTCTTTAATATGGCTTTTATTAATAAGCCCATGGACATAACTAGTTTTGTGAATTAACTTCTTTTTCAAATGCACATAAAAGCAATTGTCATCTTGAATGTTTCTTGGCAATTGTTTTACCATTGTATTAACTTCGACAGGAACATTAATTATCTGGCCATAAATACCGTACTGACCATTAACGTGTCTCAGTCTACGAATCTGCATGAACGGTATTCTTGGTGAAATCAATCGTTGCTCGATAAGATTTAACGTTGGTAAATGTGATGGAATTTTCGGATATGCAAAACCATTGTAGGTTGACATGAGAGGAATTTTGTCTTTTTCCAAAGATGTATAACACGTAGAGCAGACTTGAACAATTTCACCAGGTATTAATTCTAAAAAAATCAAATTCGTATTATCAAGATATGTAAAGAAAAATATAAAGTGGATAATTAAAATAATTAAGATTACCTGCAGTATTGTTTTCAAAATACTTTCATGTTTACTGGTCGACATTTTCAAGTCTCTTTTCCACCACAGTCTGTCGCAAATAATACAAGAATGACCAAATGAATTACTCGTAAAGTCTTTATAAAAATCAATATGACTTGTACTGTGTTTACGATAATTTGTGTAAGCTGGAATATTATCATCAACAATAAAATCCATAATATTTTCATCAATTTGATCTTCTCTATCAATCTCAATTTCATTTTCATGATTACTATCGTTATCTTCGGTAGGATCATCATCATAATTATCACGCAATAGTTGAAGATTGGCATCAACATGGGCTTCATTTTGGGTAGCGTCCTGTATTGTCTCAAATAAATCTGATACTTCAAAAAAAGGTGTGAAATGTTGTTCATGAAGATGAAGATGAATCCAGTTTTGTGTATCATTTGCTTTAAAATGACAAAAGATAGTGTCTTGATTTTTTGTAGTTATGTTGTAAAAACAATAATGTACACAAATATTTTGACTGTACATTTTTGAAAATAAGTATAAACAATCCAAATCTCCGTAATCATTAGTGCTTGATAGAATGTTATATGCTTCTTGCGGATTGTGGCAGGAGTTTAAATAGGGTGAATCGCTTAACTGATCTCTCAAGTCACAAGTCTCAATTTGAAGTTGCAAAACACTTATAAGCGAGTGGAATAGACAATTACCATCACCAGGAATTTCTGTGTTCTTGTGTAGAATAACTTCGGGAGTAATGCATTCATTACGCTGTTCATAAATTTGAAGTTTTTGGCTGTGAAATTGATTTTCTTGTAGCGTTACATTTTCTATATTTTGAACAGCCCTACATTGTAAATTCTTTTCATTACTGTCTAATTTTCGTCTTTTCCTGTGAAAAAATGAGGAAATCGTAAAGTTATTAAATAATATTGAGGTATATATTACAATTTGTTTTTAAATATTATTATTAAATCAAATTACATATTCACATAAGATTTTTCTGCAATATGTTGACGGAATTTCCTTTGACGTTCACAATTTCTTTTTCTTTTTAGCTCTTTCAGTTCTTCTTCTCTATAAAACAAAAATAGCTTCGTATAAATAATAAATATAAATAATTAGGTATAAATAGTGTAATTACACAAATAACAAAGGTACTAAATAGTACACGTGTTTGGTTTGATAGTTTCTATAATTAAAAATGTATGTATATAGAGTACTCACTCATTTTCTTTCACTATTTTTTCATCACTTTTTTCATTAATAAATTCACTTTGTTTATTCATATTTGAAACACTTTAAACACAAGTTTTACAAGTACAGCTATTCACTGTTGTACATGGATTATAGATACCTATACACCTATATAATTTCTCACAAACAGCTGTTTAAGTATTCGTACAATTTCGGAGCAGTTCGTCTCAATTCGTGCGAGCTAAGTACAGTCTACACGCATACGTCTAGTCGCACGCACCCAAACACCGTGCCGAAGTCTGCCGAACTGAACCGACGATACACGGCTTTGCTGCACCGCTGGGCCGGTTGGAGTGGGGGGTGTTAGGTTTTTTCGATACGGAATTTTCACATTCGGTCGCCGCGCTCAGAGCCTGAGTAAAAGCTATGCAATAGCTTAAAATATTGGTTTGTTTTCTTCTTATTTTAATATTATGTTATCTTTTTGGTGTTAGTCTTGTTAATATCTTATTATTTAATGTTTATATTAAAATTTTATATGTATAGTATGTACAGCATGGGTACCCATTTCTTCTTTTGTTCTTTTCTCTGAATTATTTTCTAACTTATTATAATTGTTGATATACTTAATATCATTATTGTTATTACTATATGAACTTGTGTTATTATTTTAGCAAGTAAGGTTATATCTGTTGCCCTTGTCCTCTCTTTCCGTGCGTCTACTACCCGTCGACGTACTGTAAGGGATAGATCCTAAACATTAATAATTGTTGAAAAGTTTAATGAAAAAAAAAGTCAATCCAGTATCATTGGAGATGTGTCGTTCTACTACTAATAAATACTTTAAAAACTGGATATTTTATGCTAATAATCAAAATATCGCATTTTTTGTTTGATACGTTCCTTCAATACTAGACCCTCGATATATTAGGGTAGTTCACGTTTATAGAGGTTAGAAATTTTTTTGAAAATCATATTTTTATATATACTCGTATTATTATACGTCTGTCACCGACCGTGCCTATGTCTCTCTCATCAACCGCCAGACCGCGGCACGCAACGCCGCCGTGACACCCCGTCCCCCCATCCATCAATGGACAGGGGACGCGAACGGTCGCGACGATGTCCGCACGGAATACTATCCAACCGGTCCGTTCGGGTTGTTCTGTGAACACCGTGCCCACGAGTGGATGTATGCGACTGATACATTTTTTTTTGCGACATAGTTTTTCCTAACATTTTTTTTTCTTTTTCATTATATTTCACATTGAGATATTGTCATCATTATTATTATTATTATTATTATTATTATTATTCTCAACTAGTGTTCTGTTAAACAATATAAGGCCACCTTAATAATTGCCTTGCAATAAGATTACACGATTCTGAAATATTAGATAGTTATAAAATAAAAAAAGGTAAGTGTTTTGTATTTTTTTTAATACGTACTTTGTTTACTGGGAGAAAAGAAAAATCAGACAAATGCCGACAGATCAAATTAAATTCCGGGTCTTCCATGTACTTTGTAGATAGCACTTCTTTTTGAATATGACACTAGATTTTTTGACAAAAATGAAAAAAACAAGCAGAATGCGTTACAAATGGTAAGACATCATTGATCGCGTTGATTGAAACTTTTTCAAAGTCCGTTATTATTTCAAGTTCATTATTGTTTTCGAAATTAATATTATTTTCAATCGAAAAATTATTAAACACATTTAGCAGCGTTTTATAATCATCTTCAGTTTGGTTGGTCATCAACACGTATAGCAATGGTACACAAATGTTGTTATTGATACCTCGTGAAATTGAACGTTCCATCAGCGAGCCAAAAATGTGATTCTCTCAAGTATATAAAATTCTGAACTGTTGTAAAAATCATAAATTTATTATTTCCTTCGATTACATTTATCAAAAAGAAAGGTTGTCCTTAAATTGTATTTTGAAGTTATACCCCTAACCGAGGGAGGTATAAAATTTAGTGAAACTGGTTCTAGTTCTTTTCCTTATCTCTGCCTCTTTACGATTTGCTTAGATGCGTTTTTAGTTACTTGAGATGAAATGATGACATTGCAATTTGCAATTTCATTCAGATATAATTGATTTGGTGCGTCTTGTGAAGCTTGAGCACATTTTTTAATTTTATTTTTTAAAATGTTGCATTGAATTTTAACTGTATCTGGTGCGTGGTAATGATCATTAAAAATAGAACAATCGTCTTGTTTATGTTTACCGTGGTCAAATATTGTCCGAAATGTTGCTCCACATCGATTTGTATATTTCCAATAATATATATTATTTTGATCACGTATTCGCAATCGTATTTTATCAAGCATGAATTCATAATTATTTACAAGTAACATTTCCTTGCCGTGTATACTTTTAAACGTTTTTAAACTTGCCATTTAAAAAAGAAAAATCACTTAGACAAATTTATAAAATATTATTTAAAAACAAAATTTAAACGAAATTGTGTTTGACACTTTTGTAATGATGTATCAAGCCGTACATAGATGACAGACAAAAAAAAGTCGTCGAGAGTATCTATAATACTTTTTCAGTAAAGATAAAATTGTGTGAAATCCAATATTATGAAGACGCAATTATAATGTTATTTTCGTTTAGTTTCGTTAATCAATAATTTTGAACATATGACCTTTCGTACACACAGTCTTTCGAACAGAAAATTTTTCGGACATACGGCATTCGAACACATGACCCCTTACCCTTTTTGGCACCATAGTCTACTGCAAATGATACACGAAGGACCAAAAGAATTATACGTAAAGTCTATATTTATTTATTAATTAATTTACGGAATAAAAATTCCTTATTTAGTACAACACACAACAATAATTCAGTAGTATAAGATAATTAACATATACAAGAAGCGATGGCCCAAAAATAAAGCAGAATTACAGGTACAATAAATATAAATTATAATAATTAGGACGCCAGTAAAATTACATACAAGAAATGTCAAAATATTAACACAATATTAATGTAAACTGAGAAAGGCGAGGTCCTCATTAACCAACCGCATCATGCGGTCAATTGGTTGGTTTTTACCCTAATTTGTGTAATGGAGAGGTACAGTAAAAGGAACTCGAGACCTTGTGGCCCGATGTGGAACTTTAAAGTTCACTTGCTCGAGCAGTGAAGGAGAATTTATAGAACCATCGATTAACTTTTGCAAAAATCCCAGGTTAGCTTTAACGCGTTTATCTGCTAAAGAAATAAGGTTAAGTGCGTCCAATACTGGAGTATAGTTATGAGGAGGATGGACAATTTTTAGCATGTAAGCTGCAGACGACAGAAAGCGCCTTTGAACTCGTTCCAAGTGACAAGAATCAATTACCACAAATGGGTCCCAGAGCATAGACGCATACTAGAGTATGCTAGAGCAAGCTTCGGACTAAAGAGCAGTAGACATTCTTGAGAGATCCAGACAGTTTGAACTCATTCATAGTGCGCATTACGAAGTCAAGCATTTTGAGGGCTCGGCAGCAGATGGAGTCAATGTGAGGGCGGAAGTTAAGATCGGCAGTGAAAAGAACGCCCAAGTCGCAATTACTTGTAACTTTACCAATTACTGAACCATTGATAGTGTAAGAATAATCGATTGCCACCGGCGCGTGGTGAAGGACATAGTTTTGTATTTATTAGTATTAAATTGAAGGCCAAGAGTGCAAAACCATAAGCTAATGGAATCTAACTCATTCTGAAGGGCGAGACAGTCAGCTTCAGATTCGACTTTTCGGAAAAGTTACAGGTCGTCAGCGAACATTAGGAATTTACATTTAGGAACAGCCTTCGTAATTCCATTTATAAATAACAAATTAAGCAGGGGAGACATGGGTACTCCAGATGGAACAGGGACAGCAGCAGATTTTAATCCAAGCACTTAAACAAACTGAACACGATCGGACAGGTATGATTAAAACCAGGACAAAATAGGTTCGCCAAAACCGAACTTATAGAGGATGTCAATCAGGATAGCGTGGTGGACACGGTCAAATGCTTTCGCAAAATCAGTGAAAATCACGTCTACCTGGGATCGATTTCCAAATGCCTCGAGGACAAAATTATTAAACAAGGTTCGAAACGGAAGAACGTCCAGGTCGGAAACCATATTGTTCGTCGAATAGTACAGGGTCAACCGAGGGCTGAATGAATTGCAGTACTAAGTGTTCAAAAAGCTTGGCAATATAACTTAGAATTGAGATGGATCGATAATTCGTGGCGTCAGATTTGATTTGTCATCAGAACACAGGGGTGACTGAACTGATTTTAAGCATAGATAGAAAAATTCCATCGTCCATTGAGCGTCTGAAAAGTAACCATAGAGGAAAACAGAGGACAGATTTAATGTCATACAAAAAGGTCCCAGATAGACCATCAGGGCTAACGGAGTTTTAGTGCAGCTAACCCATTCTCGACATCATCAATACTAAAGATGCAGTCAGAAGGTAAAGTATGCTGCGCAAATGGAATTACAGGTAGACTACTTAGGCCATACACTGTGTTAAAGTAAGATGAGAAAAGACTGGAAATAAATTCAGGATCAGTGGCACTTTGATTATTGAGGTGGACAGAGTTGGGAATATTATTATTAGACCTTTTTTTTACGTACAAAGTCCCAAAATAAACGAGGATTAGTTTTAAGCATGTTTTCAGTGTTATATAGAAATGTTTTATAGCATTTTTTATAATAATACTTATATTGAGCGCGCAGGTTAGAGAACTAGTTTTAGTCAACAGGGTTACGTGATGTTTTGATATTAGCGTGCATTTTTTTCTTGACAAATACAATGGTCTTAAGATTTTTAGAAAACCAGGATGTAATATTAGAAGATTTAAAAATAACTAAAGGTACAAAACTTATAACACAGAAATGCAATGCATCATACAGTGCACATGTAGCAGAATAAATATTGGTTGTTATTAAGGTTTAACCAGTTAAACGATGATAAGAAGGCACTAATACGAGGATAACAGGCTTTACGAAAATGTTAATATTTATGACAACAATCTATGGAAGGTAAGTCATCTACAAAAATAAGCATAATATTTATGGCTGGGTGGTAGGGATCGCAAGGAACCACCACAGAAACGGATTTCTCGATATTGATCCGAGAATCATTGGAAAAAACTAGATCAAGGAATTGATTTGAATTGAATTAGAGTTGGGTATGAGATTTAGTTGAAAAAAATTATTATATGCGAAAACGTCAGGAATACAATAGATTTCAGGGCCAGAGGAAGAATAAATTAAGTCAAAATCGTCATTAGACCAGGATAAGTCTGGAAGGTTGAAATCACCAGAGAATATAAATACGGAACCAGGATTAGCGTTGATAATATATTGAGCAGCAGACATAAAGGACTCATATACCGGGATAGGGCTACTAAGAGGAATGTACACGGAACAAACAATATAAGCAGTATTATTTACATAAAATTTAATTAATAATTGTTAATGAGTGCTGGTAACAAGTTATGGACCACATTGTTACGAATAGCAACGATAACTCAACCTCCTCTACTGAAACTACTGGATTGACTACTTCTATAACACCTAAATACAACATAGTTGTGTAAATCTAATTCAGTGTCTTGGAAGCTATTAGTTAGCCATGTTTCAGATAAACAAATGAAAATATAATTAAACACATCAACATTACATTTAAAAAGACAATGTTTGGTTCATAGACCTCTACAGTTTTGATAGTAGCCCATGGGTAGTTTCGCTCCTAGGCTGATCAGTTTTTTGGGGTTTTTCTCAACACCAGATCTGGAAGTGAGTGGAACGTGTGCATCAATACGAGGAGGACAGGTAGACGAACACAATAATATCAGTTTTTTTATGTTTTTTTTAGTAACTATTTTATGTGTCACAAAATAAAAAGTACTTACGATTTCGCTGTACCCGTACTTGACTGGTTGATTCCTCGGGGAGCCAATTGTCACGGTGCACACCACACAAACAAATAAATTTACATAAACAAAGAAATTAAATTAAATCAGAAATTTATATTATAATAATAATACTAAATTAACTTTTTAAGTAAGTAATAAGTAAATTAAATATTAAACTAATATTTTTAATAAATATTATTTGTATTATAATAAAAAAAAAACTATTTGCTATAATAATACAACAAAATTAAAACTAAATGTCGAATGACAACTAGAAATGTTTATCAAACAAATGTTAAAGAACAAAGTAAAACCACACGCAAAAATATGTAAAAACGGCCACGAAGACGGCAGAAAGCAGACAAGCGCCGCCGTCGTTCTCGACGGTCGTCACACCGTTCGCGAACGTTTCGGGGCTCATCGCCGACTCCAAAAACTGGTTCGATTATCTATCGGGCGTCCCGATTGATAATCGAACGAATGGTGACACCAAGGCAAAGGGGTGTAACGGGTGAGATCACGATATTCGTGTGACACGACCGTGTCAACTCTTAGTGAACCTCATGGTTTCGACCATATCCTTATTATAGTAACTGCCAAAAAAAATCGTCTATCCCACTTTACGTAACGCAGTGCCAATCTCAATACTGCCGTAAATATTCATAGTTCTTTCAACTTCAGTAAAGCAAATTCGTCATATTTTTCATTCCAAGTCCAGAATTCAATTGCTTCTTTAACTAATAATAATCCTTCAACTCTTTCTTACTTTACCTTCACCAGTATCATTAATAATTCTGCTGAATCCTCAATCCCTAGAAAAAGACCAAATTCCAATCCGTACCCTCCCTTCCCCCCATGGTGGAATCCCTCCTGTACATAAGCTGTAAAAAATAGAACACTATTTTTTTAGCAACTTCCGACGCTCAGGGTCCATGGCTGACTTCCTTAAATTGTGAAACCCGAAATTATAATTAATTATAACAATGGCAAGGCAGGCATTGATCTATCTGATCAACTTTCAAGTTATAGTACAGTGGTCATAAAATCAATCCGATGGTACCACAAAGTCGCTACGAAAATATTACTAGGAACGGCTATTGTAAACGCTTTAATTGTTTATAATAAAATGCATGAAAGAAAATTAAAAATTACCCAGTTTCGAGAAATATTAGTTGATCAAATGTTAGAAATTGAAAAACTGAATGAATCGATTGTAAATGAACTATCAACGTCTGGAACCAAACGATCAAAAGGAAATACGAAACATTATTTTCCAGAAACTACAGAAAAGTGTAATAGGAATCGAAAGCTTCGAAAAAGATGCGTTCATTGCTATCAAAGTATAAAAGATGTTGAGGGGACCGTAAAAGCTAGAGAAGTAAAAAAAGTTTCAACATTTTGTATAACTTGTAAAATTTATACCTGTATAAATTGTTTTAATATACACCATATAAATTAGTATTTTTTTTTTATTTTATCTTTTTTTTTTGACATGTTTAATTATTTAAAAATCCATTATACATAATAATAAAAAAAAAATTAAAGCAATAGAATACTGTTTTTAATCTTTTATTTCTAGAACTTGAAAAAATCCAATAGAGGTAAAAAATATACCGTTCGATGTAAAATTTCCTTTTCTATGCAATGGTAACATCATATGTATCATTACTTCAGCGCCAGCATAATAAAGGCTATTTGAAAATATACAGGAATGTGACAGCCCGCGGTCACATGGCGTATTGGTTATAGGGTAGTGTGACAGCCGGCGACCACATTTTTAGTGTTATCACCAGTAGCCAGATGACCGCCGGCGGCCACGTGGCGGTCAACGTGTCAAAAAAAATAAATGTTACTCTACTGCTAATTCTTTTTTTGACGTTGTAAAAAGCCAGCCTCCAATCTCCGAAATTCTTAAACCCAACACCACTCTTCGCGAAGATAGCTTCCTTAGTCTATTCGATAATCATCATTTTTTCAATTCCGGGAAACAAAAACATAAATCTCGCCCCTCGTTTAACAAAAAATATAATTACTCACCATATGAAATCCAGTCCTACTCACCTAACGGTAACTACTTAAATAAACTTCCTAACATAGAATCCTCTCCTGTAAATAACTAAGGAAATCTATCATGGGTACAATCTCTTTCCCATAAACTATCTGAAACTCTTATTAATTCTCCATCGTTATCTACTCCTTTCTCCTTCATTTCTCTTCAGTCCCTAATTGAATCTTCCATATATTCTCTTCACAATACTCCATTCTATAATCTCACTGCATAAATAATACCTTCACTTCAGTTCATAGTGACTCCTCAAGTTTTAATTTATATTTTATATACATTTTATATTATAGTTAATAAATTATGGTGTCGATTGCTAATAATATTAATTCCTTAAACTACATTAATATAATGCAGTGGAATGTGAGAAGCCTCCCTGCTTGCCTTCCATCTCTACAAAACCTACTAAATTATCATAAATGCTCTATTGCTCTTCTTTCCGAAACTTGGCTCCTACCTTCACGTTCCCTCTCTATTCCAAATTTCAAAATCTACAGATCAGATCGCTTGGATGGGATGGTTATGGTGGAGTAGCCGTAGCCATTTACAGATCCCTTAATCCAAACTTATTCTCATTGATAATATCACCAGAAATAGATTTACTAATCTAAAAATCGATATCATATGTGTTGAGGTCGTTTTATCTGATTCATCTCCCCCTTTAAAGATATGGTACTGCTATCTCCCCAGTAGCTCCAGTATTCCCGTTAACCTATGGCAAGACTTATTCTCAATTGTTACCCAAAATACTCTCCTCTGCGGAGATTTCAATGCTTTTCATCCTGCCTGGGGTTCGGACTTATCTTCCCATCATGGTAACCTAATCTACAATACGATAAATTCTTTAGACCTTTGCATTTTGAATGATGGTAGTTCTACTCATGTCGGACGACTTGGCTCATCCGATTCGGCTATTGATCTATTTTTCTGCTCTGCTGATATCTCCTGGTACTTATCATGGCGCACTCTGTCACGTAGCACACCACAATTTAATAATAATAATAAAAAGACACAAAAGGAAAGAAAAATGAAATATATATATTAATATGAAAATAATAATAATAATCACAAGCAACAAGATACACTCTGATTATTAATGTTAATAATGATGAATAAGAGTTATTCACTTCTTGAAAAGAAAATAGTAATAATAATAGAAGACAATAAAATTATTGTCTGAACAAATATAAGAAAAATAAAGGTGTCAAAAAAGACAAAGTAAAACCAATACGCAAAATATATAAAAGGCCACGAAGACGGCAGAAAGCAGACAAGCGCCGCCGTCGTTCTCGACGGTCGTCACACCGTCCGCGAACGCTTCGGGGCTCATCGCCGACTCCGAAAACTGGTTCGATTATCTATCGGGCGTCCCGATTGATAATCGAACGAATGGTGACACCAAGGCAAAGGGGTGTAACGGGTGAGATCACGATATTCGTGTGACACGACCGTGTCACACTTCACCGAAAATCCGCCAACTGGAGGCCCGAACGAAACCTGACGATCCCCTATATAAAATTACGCCATTGATGAACCTATTTCATAACAGAATGAAAGAAGTATATTATCCTACTAAAGAGTTGAGTATAGACGAATCTATGCTTCTTTGGCGTGGACGTCTATATTTCCGCCAATACATACAAAACAAAAAACACAAATTCGGCATAAAATTTTATGTGCTCACACAACCGGATGGCTTTGTCCTAAAGACAAGAATTTATTCTGGATCAAATGATCCAATTGTGGGTGGTAAGGGCCATGTCGATAAAGTGGTAAAATACTTACTCGACGACTATTATAGAGTGGGACATTCGGTCTATATGGATAACTTTTATAACTCCATTGAACTTACCGAATATTTATTGGACAAAAATACATATGTAACAGGAACACTTCGAGGAAATAGAAAGGGCAACCCGTCAGATGTGGTCAGTAAAAAGCTGAAAAAAGGAGAGTTGACATCGGCATACAACAGTAAGGGGATCTGTGTTATGAAATGGCATGATAAAAGGGATGTGCTAATGATATCGTCAGAGTTTGGGGATGCTATGAATGAATACCGGGCAAGAAGTGGCAAAGTATCAGAAAAGCCGGAATCTGTACAAAAGTATAATGAGTTTATGGGTAGTGTGGACCGTAGTGACCAACTCATGAGCTACTATCCTTGTGAAAGGAAAATACTAAGGTGGTATACTAAGATCGCGTTACATATGTTTCATATAATTATGAATAATGCTTTTATACTATACAAGCAGCAGCCTGGAAAACGTAACTGCAGATTGTTAGACTTCAGGGATTCTGTAATTAATAAATTAATTTATAACTATCGGCCAAAAATCGTAACTCCAACGCAAAAATCAAACAAACAGGGACTACATGTCATTTCTTCAGTTCAGAGAAACACAAAAAATAGGCCGATTAGGAAAAGATGTGTCATTTGTGCAAAAAACAAAAAAAGAGTGGAAACAACATATTATTGCGACGAATGCCCAGAAAAGCCAGGATTGTGCTTAGATACGTGTTATAAAAAATATCATGGGTACTAGTTATTTATTTATTATTGTATAGACAATTTTAAACGGTTTTATTTTATGTTTTATTAAGTTTTTTAATTATTTTTATTTGCGAAGCGTTTGATATTATGTTTTTAAATGTTTTAATTTATGAATATTTTTATTCTATTAAGTTTTCATTTATTTTATTTACTGTTGCCAGTTATTTATTTTCAGTTGTTCTACATACCTATTATAAAATATATTAAAATTTTATAACTTATTATTATACATTTATTTTCATTAATTATGTAACACATTCCAACCGATTATAATTTTTGTGAACATGCTATTTATCATAATGGCGTGTAGACGCAGTAATACAAATCCAAACATTGTCGACACCCGCATCCGGGAAAAATGACATACTAGGATGCTGACGTCGACTACGCGTCGACAATCGTTTTTTTTAGTCCAAAAGCAATACATTAGTAAAAGTAAGCACTGATATAAGTAAAGTAAAGTAAAAGAAATATTTTTGACAAAAAAAATGTTCCGCACAGGGGAGTCGCTCAGGTCAACTCATGCCGCAGTCAAAGTGTTAATATACGGCCCACTGGCCATTACCACTTTCGTAACCACGTTGTGTTTGTTATTTTTTTCTCATTTATTATTTATTTGTGCGTTGTGCTCCTTGTGGTTCACGACAAATTAGTGGGTTTACAGCCAGTTAATTCAAGAACTGCTACTATAAGAGCAAAAATAAATAGAGATAATTATAAAGAATTCTTTAATACTGAAGGAAGAGTTGAATGGCAAGATGCTATGATTAGAGCTGGAAGAACTTAGTATCTATAGCTTTGTGTATTAATTGTATTATTATTATTATAGTTGAATATATTATACTATTAATTAAATAATGAAATTTAAATATGAATAGAATATTATCATGTTTTGTGATTGGTCCTCACGTACAATTGAATTAATTGGTTTTGTGTTGTCAGTAATATCATTTGATTCATCATCATCAAGCATCGGTTCATTCATCACAGGATATTCATTTTCACCCAAATTTGAAATACTGTCCGTAGGTATTTCTTGGTCTTTAATAAATCATAATACCACAGTGTAGGTATATAAATGTTATCTTTAAAAGAACCACTACGTTGGCTTTCCATCACTTTCTTTTTTTTTTTTCTAAACCAAAATTATATTCAATAAATTATAATATTTAAGTTATAAGTGCTATTAATTATTAAAAAAATGGCTTTCAATATTAGATTTTAAACTGAGTGATTATTGTATTGATTTTACAATCATGGGTATTTTCTTGTTAGTAGCAGTAAAAGTGCTTCAAATTTCAATTTTAGAGTTTAATGGTTTCTGGTAGAAAATTGCAGGTAGTTGATACTTTGAGGGATATTATTAGGAGAAAAATTTGACTGTAAAATATTTGAAAATTTAATACAAGGATCTACATAAAATGGCTTTACAGTAATTCAAATTATTTTAAAATACATACACATTTTTTTTTATATGCGTTTGAACTGTTTGAAGTTAGAATTTTCATAAAACTTGTCAATGTATTGTATAAATATTAAAATATAATAAAAACTTAATTACTAACACTAAAAGAAATAAAATGCAATACCAAAGATTTATCATTGAATTCCAATTTAACACACACCACTATGGCCTACTAAATTACGAGATTCACTTGACTACTAATTTACTTAACAACAGTAGAGTGGGTCCCCAATTTTTAGATTCTGAGCGTAGCGAAGAATGTATTAATTTTACAATGATGTGTGTTTTTTTTTTTTTTTTGTGTCTGTCATCACGTTTTAAGGTAGAAATATTGCTCCGATTTTCTTCAATAGCACCTTTTCTGATAGGAAAGTGAATCTAGTTGGTACTTTGGGGGGTCAAAAGTTAAAATTTTCCAACACTTTTTAAACACGATGGGAAAACAAACAAAAAATTAAGGAAAATACGGTAATTTTTACGGAATTCAAATTTTAGGAAAATTCGATTTTTATTTTTGGTGTAACACAAAAAATAATAGTTGTATCTACATGAAATTTTCACCAAATGTTTATATTCACTATTTTAATACACCATACAATTTTCAAAATATTTTGTCTTTTTTTGAGCAAAATATAGGCTTTTGAAATTTTCGATAAAAATTTTTTTTTTTTAAATGTCGATAAAAAATTTTTGGTTGGACCAAAATACTATTACAAAATAATATTCTATTTTCTTAGTTTTTTTTTTATAAATATCCATTAAAAATTTTTCGCTGGTTCGAAAAGCTTGAAAATATAATTCATGGTTCACGATAATTTTTTATTATATACGTTTAAAAATATTAAAGATACATGTGCTCGATTTATTTTTAAAAGAAATTTGAAGTTCATATTTTGACGAAATAGATGAAAATGTGCATGTTATTTTGTACTTAAAAATTTATAAAATGTTCAATTTTTATAGCTAAGGATTGAAAATTCAAAAACAGGTTTTTTCTGAAGTAGTTGTTAATGTAATCAAAAAATCTAATCAATTTATTTAAACATTGTTTTTTATAGACATTTTAACTTTTCTAGCAATAATAGACTTACAGACCGTCTTCGCTCAGAATCGTTTTTCGTATGCAATGATTTCATCGAATTCAAATTTAATGTAATATCCTATACAATAACCGACACTAAACCTCTGTACAGCAGAGCGATATCCACTTGCCTTCATTTTTTTTAGTTTAATAGGTATATATAAGAAAATATGTAATAACAAATATAGGTAGGTGCTTTACCTGAATGATCCACGTAAACTTTGTATTTTTTTGACAATAAATTCCCTATTGGCTTCTGAAAAACTGGGCTTGCAAAAATTAACCATTTCATCGTATGCATTATTGCGTAGATGTTTGTTGCTATAATCTTTTAACTTACTTTTCCAAAGGCAAGAAAAGGACTTATAAATATTTAAGAACTCTATTAAGAATTCTTTGGACCAACAGCGAACATTAGACATGTTAAGATACTTGAATAAAATACATTATTATGTTTATTAATAATAATTAAAAAATATAATATACATTATATTAAATTATATGTATTTTACTTACGTATTAAAATATTATAGGTAACCTGTTCGCTTAATTAATAATTATTAATTAAAATTTAATACTGTCTTAAATAATTACATTTTTTGAACATCGGTTTAATTAGCGGGCAGTGATTGAACGGCGCGTCGCCACAAAAATGAAAATAAAAACGATAAAATGATTAACCATGCGTAAGAACGGGCAAACCGTTTCCAGTTAGAACACGATCAATCTTGCAAGACGTTAAATTCGTACAATCGTTTAGATGGAAATTCTTTCCCGTGTGATAGCCCTCACACCGTTCAATCGCGCGGTCAAAACTCTACGTGTGATTTTCCTTTAAGGCGTAAAGTGCAGAGTATGAAGATCAAGATGACTCCAATTATGTGTACTGTCGCTGCTATCAGCTCTTATACTATAAATCATAAAGGGTGCCTTAATAGCTGTATAAAAAGAAAATGTACTGTTGCAATAATTGCTGTGTGAACACAATATTATATAAATTCAATGAGAAAGAAAGAATGGTTAAATATTATAAATTGAATGTTAATAATTACTGTAATAATAAATTGTACTATGTTGCCTGGTTGGCACAATACACTAAATACATATAATCAAATAAATATAATAAATAATAAAAGTATCAATAAAAATAAATTATCTACGGCACGCAATACAAACAATTCAAATAATGTACGTGGCCCACATGGCGCACGGAAAATAATAAATATAATCAAGTGCTGGCCCTACAGCGACACAACAATAAATTAATAAATAAAAATATATAAATAAATACAATAAATATAATATGTGTCTGAGGAGGCAATACAAACGCTCGATATAAATAATAATAACCTGCCTACGACGGCTAGGCCCGTCGGCCTTTAACACAAATGAAACAAATATGGTCGACCAATACTCACATGAGATGACAGTAATTGGTGGCGGATTTTATCCCAACGCACCAGAACTATCACGACAATTGCCTTAGACGGCACACCGCAGTGTTTAAAATTATACAAAATAAAAATTTCACAGTCTGGTACGTGCGACCACCTGATCACAATCACCAACGAAGACAGCAACAAACGTAAAAATGTAACAAAACGTGAATTTAACGTAAACTAACAAAAAATGAATTTCGGTGTGCACACCACGAAGACACGGAAACGAGAGACAGTCGGTGCCGACGACTTTTACCACGAAGGCTTTGGCCGCCGGATACCACAATGAAGATAAAAAGCCTCAGTGCCACCACACAAAACTGAAAAACACTCGAATTTGATGAAACTTGTGACACTGAGAGCATGACTTTAACTTTTACAAAAACATAACCGACAATTTTTGACAACGTGGAATAATGACATTTTCATGCGATGATAACAGCGCGATTACGTACCTGGCCGGTCTCACACGGAGGCTTATCACCGCCGCCGACGATGGCTGCAGATACGCAACGCACCGCTATGCATCGCACGAAAATGGTAACATTCATTACAACAATCACACATAGTAACGATCTTATCGCGCGATAAGAATCGACACGAACAAATATACAAACATGCATTTAGACAGGGGAATTGTCACGAACATTCTACCCGCCTTGAAAGTACGAAGGGCTTTCAACTAACATAATACATTAAATTGAATATAGAAATAGAACCTACAATTCTAATACAATGAGCAACAGGATGCTAATATAGGGATACATTTTAATAATTGATGATAGGGGTGGTTGGTGCAACAACCTCTTCCTCCTTAAGGCTGGGCAGTACTGCTAGCTTGGATGTTGGACGTTGGAATTCTCTGCTAGCCGGGGACGGTTACCACACGAACAACTCCGTCGTTGCCGGGATGGATCTTCGTGATTCTGACCATTTTCCACTTGAGTGATGGTATGTTATCTTCCTTCAGAATATCCAACGTACCAACCTCAACATTGTCCTTTTTTGTAAGCGAGCATCCTCTCCTTTGAAGTTGTGGAAGATATTCAGTACTCCATCTTTTCCAAAAGGTTTGAGCTTGTAACTTCACTAGTTCCCACCTTTTCACTCTGTTTAGTGGTATTTTAGTACTGTCAGGTTCAGCAGGCAGTGTCAAGATTCTTCCAATTAAGAAATGTCCTAGGGTTAACACGTTGAGGTCGGAAAGATCATCATCAATTGGTGAAATTGGACGAGAGTTCAACACTGCTTCTATTCTACGAAGCAAGGTGTTCATTTCTTCAAATGTTAGAAGGCCCATTGCTGTTACCTTTAATAAATGCCTCTTTGCAGATTTCACAGCCGCCTCCCATAAACAACCAAAATGGGGTGCAGCAGGAGGAATGAAATGCCATTGAATATTAAGATTGACCCTTTCCTCTTCGATTGAGTTTTGACCATTAGGTTTCTTGAAATATGACTGCAAGATTTTATTAGGACCTACAAAATTTGTACCGTTATCACTATAGATATGTCAACAGTGACCCCTACGCGCCATGAAACGCATAAGAGTAGCCAGAAATAATTCAGTAGTTAGGCCATTAAACAACTCTAAGTGAATTGCACGTGTGACAAAGCATACGAACACTGCAATATAACATTTTATACTAACTACTCGTCGGATACTCGCACGGAGTCCACACCAGTCTTGGCAAATGGCCTTTCGATGGTGACTCTGTCTCGTGGAAGTGGCGCCATAAATGGAGTGATCATTGTAGGATTTGATCGAAAGCAGATTACACATCTTCTTACAGTATTTCGAG